CTTTATTGCCTAAGCTGGGTCCACAATTTCTCTAAAGAAATACACATTAATTATCTCCTCTAGACAGTACATGTAGTTCTGCCAAGACAAGTCTATGCAGTATATGCAAATGAACTGTGTGGCTGCTATAAAGAGCACCTACTCACTCCCCAAGATTTCATTTACAACTATAAACTTCATTTTTTTTCAGCAATTGATGGATTAGGGCAGATAGAGCATGGTCTTGGGAGGTGAGACGGGGTCTAAAAGAGCTTTGCTGGATTATCAATAATGGACACAAGAACAGAAGGTAAAACTGTAATGGGAGATGTATTTAATTGGGAGTCTTGATTTTAGTCCTACTTAAGAGGAGTTATAACAAGGGAGAGCAATGCAAGACAGTGGTGTTTGTAGGTACAGACTGGTTTATTCTGGTTAATACATTGTAATATTGAGGAATGTCAGTTTAAGAGAATATGATATGTATGGTCTGTGTAATCAGAGATTACTAAAATGTCCATATTAAAGCTGTGTGTGTGTGTTTGTGTGAGATTGCACATTGCACTCAGGGTTCCACAAAGAATCAACATCTGTACTTCAGATTATAGAGAAAAAAAACAGAGCTATAGAACTATTAACTTGTGGTGGTGATGCCCTGTCACAGGAGCAGAATAATCATCTGTACCAAGCCTAAGACTTACTGAATAGTCAAACACTCAAGGTTTAGAGAAGACATTGGTGTAGTACCTTACTGTAATAAATTCATTAAATACTATGGTTTACCAATAGGCAGGATGTGTAGAGTACCATCTATATTTTAAGTCCCATGGGACTTCCGAGCCAGCGTCACTGGCCATCTTACTCACAGATAGCAATCTCCCCACCACGACAATGGGGAAAGACAGAGGAGGGCCAAACAATGTGTTTCCCCACCTCAGAACTCCTGTCCAAGTCCAAATGGCAGGACCGTGGGAATGACATCTTCCTATCTACGGAAAACCACCTTTGTCCATTACCAGACCACAAGGTGAAATTGCTTAGGCAACCAAAAATCAAATCATCCTGCTGAAATTAGCCTATGGAAAAGCCTACACAAAGGCTAGTAGTGTGGACTACTAGAAAAAGCATGGGCTTTGTCCTTGGACAGCTGGGTTCCATTGCTGGCACACAGTAGGTGCATAGAGACTACTGTTTGAAAGAAAGGATGTTGGCTCATATTTCTCCACTATTATTCTCTTTCCTAAAGATAATTCTTCAACCTACCCAAATTTTCCATGTGACTAAAAATATCTCTTCTCTGCCTTAACTGATCAGGGGCCAGGAAGTAGCACCACACAGTGATCAAGAGTTCAAAAGCTGGAGACAGGACCTGGGTTTGAATTCTAGCTCTTCTAGTTACTGGCTATATGACTTGAGCAAGTTGTGTGTGTATCTATTAGTTACTTACTAAGGTATGTATTGACTATTCATTAAGCCTTGTCTGTAAATGGGAATAATTATAGTACCTATACTTCACTGGGCTATTGTGAGAATTAAAAGAGATAATATATGCATAGAATTCAGTGCAACACCTGGCAAATGAGTGTTAAAAATGTAATTTATTACAATGATCATTACTATTTCCCATAGCAACTGTTTATTATTATTATTATATATTATTATGATCATTTCTGAAACAAAATGAGAAGCAGTGAGTTTTGCATGATGAAGTGATGTTTTAGGAAAGTTTTTATTCATCATTCCTTTATCCTTCAAACTCCCTAGAAATTAACTTTTAGCTATGGAAATGAACAACTTGTGCAAAACGTATAACCAAAAATGTATAGTGAGAGAGATCTGGCTTTTGTGGTAGATTTTTGTACATTGTGAAGGCAGTAATAACCACTCGAACTTCTCTTGAACCCAGAACACAATAAGCTTTTGTTGGATTATACTAAGGAAAAAAAAATAGCAAATTCAGTTTTAGAAAGTCTACCTTCAAGGCCGCAAATAAAATCTAAAAATATGACTTTCAATTTAAGGTATTAACAAATAGAGGAATTTATACTACATAGACTCTTTCAGTTCAGATTTACATTCTATCATTTTCTAGAAACAAATGAGTCACGGAGCCACTGTAACACACATCAAAATATTAACAAGGAATGCCTAGAGAGACAGAAGTGCAGTGGGGAGTCATCAAAGTATGTCTTAACTGATCTATAAAATTTAAAAATGGCATAAAACATAATTTGTTCTTTCTATTCTCCTTTCAACTTTCCGGCTATATCCTAGCACTAAGTATAATATAAGTGATATCTTTAAGCGTTGAAAACATCGTGTATTTGTACGTGAATATTATTTTTTGTTGTTTTTATTTAAACTAATACTTTCTAATTTGCCCCAGGAAATTCCAGTTGCATGACAATCATGCTAAATTTGTTTTTAACATTTTTCTCCTACTTACTTGTGCAGCCATGCAAAAGGAAGTGTATATTAAAAGCTTTTTCATTCATCATTTGCTTGCTTATTAATTTGGGAATTAAATTTTGTTTTCATAACATTTCTTCATCCAGAAATACTGGCTTTTATAACTCCAACTCCAAAGCTTGATGTTCCTTCTTTATGAGAAAATAAACTGTTAAATTACACAATAGAGCAAGTAATAAAATATTCTGGTTAAACAAGTTTTGTAAAAACAGGAGAATTTGCTATATAACTGGGCAAATTCTAAATATTTAAAAGACATAGAACTATATGTATCAATAAAATCTAGTCTTTTACTAGTGATGAAGATATTTTAGTATGCTACAGACCTAAAGGTCATTATTTAAAATGCTGGCCATTATTGTATTATGTGCGTATCGTACAGTACTGGTTATAGTGTCTGAGCTAATGGGAAGCTAGATTATAAAACTAGCTGTTACTCTATTAATCTGCCCCATAAGAACTTGTAGACTAGCAAGAATACAACACTACTAGATCCTACTAAATTGTAATTCTGAATTAGAGAAATTCTAATGTAGACTATTTAATTCTCAGTCATATATACCTGACTTAAACACATAGGAATTCCTTTTAATAGTAGAGCTAAAATTAGGGATTGACTTTAAAAGTAACAAATCAAACAGATAATCACTGTATAAACATATTCAAGCAAGACAACTAATATTTTCTTGATTTAGTAAAAACAAAAATTTGCATTATTGGGTCCAGTTTGGATTTTTTAAAAAATCAGATGGCACAGTATTCTTGGTCAATTCAGTAAAGTAATTAACTTTTTTGTATAGTACATGCATTAGTTTTCTATTGCAGCTACTCTAAAGTCTTTCTCAGCTGAAATCAAGATTGGTAGGGCTGTGTTCCTACTCTGGAGATTCTGAGAAAAAAATCCCATTGCCTGGCCTTTTCCAGCTTTTAGAGGCTGCCTGCATTCCTAGAATCATGTCTCCCTTCTTCCATTTTCATAGCCAGCAGCCAGCATCTTCAAATCTCTCCTCAGACTCCTCTGCCACCCTCATCTACTTCTAAATTCCCTTGAGGTTACACTAGGCCCATCAAGATAATCCAGTATAATCTCCCTATTTTAAGATCAGTTTATTTGCATCCTTAATTCCATCTGCAACCTTAATTCTCTTTTGCTATGTAACCTAACATTTTTCCAGGTTCCAGGGATTAGGATATGGGTATCCTTAAAGCTAAACCTGTAATATTCAATTCACATCAATATTCATCCAAGCAAATTAAAGTTGTCTAATACTATTACTATTCTTATTATAGTGTGGAATTAAAATGTAAACATTTTTTAAGTGCTTTAAATTTGCATTAGCTTATCATATCTTTCAATAGACACCTGCCAATTTGGACAGAGTCTGACCTCCTTCCATTCATACTCGTACAAATTTGATACCAATCAGGTGCTTTGATACCTTGTTTTCAAGTTTGTCACAACTCAGTACATTGTAGACCGTACACTGATTAAAATGTTAAATTCCCATGAGGCAATGTAACATATATTGTTTATTATATGATCATATATTATGGCAACATTTTTTACCCTGAATATACATCTCAGACTACAATAAAAACTTCATAAGAAAATACTATTTCACTAACATTGACATAACACACACATTTTTCAGGAAGAAAACTGGAAAAGTAGATTATTTGCATTCACATGGATTCTGGAGACACTATACCCCAATTTAGGAATGATATAAAGGAAACTTGGCCCAGGGATCTTTATCTTCATCTAAAGTCACACAGCTAACCTGAAAAAGAGCAGTCTCCAGATAATCAAGCGTTCTCACGATTATAATGCTATTCACCTTACACATAAAGCAGGGTCAATTATGACTCTTATCCCTACATTGCATTATAAATCAATAGCTTTACTCGCACTTCAAGAGAGTGTAGAAACAGTACTTTATTATTCTGTCCTATGACACACAGCCTAAGTCATGGATCAAGTCTTATTAAGACCTTGAGTAAATTATACAACATTTATAAAATGTCACATAATAAGAAGAAGCAATATACAGGAAGGAGAAATTAATTTGACAACATAAACAAAGAATGATGAGCCTACACTAACAATGCAAATAATGTCCACAGGACAAAGGAACATTTGATAATATTTAACTATTTCAAGATAAATCACTATTTCTTATTGGTGGGTTAAAATGAGAACAGTACAAAAAGATTTTATATGAATTTTCTGGGAGAAAGAAAAATGGTTTAGAGTCAGTACTGTTTGGGAAACATCATTATTTCAAGAGTGTTTAGACATTTTTTCATTTTTCCAAATATTTTAATCTCTGCTTTAAAAAATATATCTGCTAAACACATTTATATCCCTAACCTAATAAACGACAAATATTGCTCTAATTTTTAATCTAATTTCTTTCAAATATTAAATATATATCATTTCCTTCAGTGAATAGGACTGAATTCCATTTTTAAAAGTTATGGGGGAAGTCTCTTATGTTATCAATAAAACACTATTTTCTTGGGATCATAAAGGAGAACTAAAATCGACTTACTTGATATAATAGGGCACTTTATTATGTGAAATGGATCTTTGCCACGGCAGCTGGACCGAAGCTGAGGAAACAAGGGCAGATTATTGGAAATGCTGGAAACTCAAAAGCCTTACACCTTAATGCAAAACAACTGAACACATTTTACGGCAAATTCACTGAGAACCATTCTGGTTTTTGAGCTGGAGTCCTATAATTATAAAATCCACTGGGCCAAACAAAAATGGTTTTAAGGAGTCATTTGAAGTAAAGAAAAAAGAATCACAGTTCAATTTCTAATGCCAACTAACTTAACCTGTTGGTAAAAATGCTTTTCAAAAATCAAGTTTTATTGTTTATAAGCACCATAATTTAAAACTTGGTACCATCTAAAAACTGTACTCCGTATACATTTCTGACAAAGCAAAAACCAAGATTAATTTTACCTGGTACCTCCAGGTTGAAAACTCAATTTCTGAAGATTAAATTTTCCAGATCACTAATAGCATCCTTTACTTTGCATCATAGGCATAGGAATAGCTATTGAGTCAAAATGGTATTTAAACAAATTCAAGTATATGAAACTTAAAAAGAGAAAATTGAAATAAAAATAGGCAAAAAGTTGTGAAGAACCAAGGCAATCATCTGGGCAGAAAAATCCCAAATACTTATTTTTTATTTGAAATGCATAGGGAGCCCCATTTCCTACTTTAGTACTAGACATTACTATGATTGAGATTCTATGATTTTTTATTGAGGTACTTATGATTTATAATCTGTGTGTGTGTGTGTGTGTGTGTGTGTGTGTGTGTGTGTGTGTGTGTGTGTGTGTTTGTGTGGAGACGTGGTCTTGCTATGTTGCCCAGCATAGCTTGTCTCAAACTCTTGGACTCACACAATCCTCTCGCCTCAGCCTCCCAGAGCTCTGGGATTACAGTCATGAACCCCCATGCCTGGCCTAATTCTAGTTACTTCTTAGTTATAAAATATATTATTTGTACATTAAACCAATTATTTTAAGACTTATTTAAGAAGAGCAGTACATGTAAATGTAGTGCTATAAAGAAATTTTGCTAAATGAACTGATAAAATAGCTCAAATAAAACTTTACGAATATCACAAAACCCTCACATAGCCAGTTGCCACCAATAATTTTTTTCTGAATTTCATGTCATATTAATATCTTATAAATATTCAGTATTCTAAATTTGGACAAGTATTTTCAAATATATCTTTTGGTAAAGAAGCCAGCAAGGTACAAAGGTATCAAAGTTCTGTTTGATAGATGAGCAACTAAATACACAGAGATGAAATAACTGTCGAGCTCAGAAGTGATCTCAGAATTTTTGAACACTAGTTCAGCAATTTTTCTGCTCAACAATTCTTCCTCTCTTTATAAAATGCAAACACTTCTTTTTCCAACTATGTCCATGAAAGTATAAAAAGGGGACGAAAATGAGGAATTAGGTATGTTAAATTTCTCATCAGAGTCAACCTCATTTCACTGTTGGCACCAGGCTAATAGGTCAGTTTTCATTTTGTGCCGAACCAAGCAGGCTTCTTTTATGATCATGGCTAAAGTCCAAGAAATATAATAAAGCCAAAGATTCCAAGCAGCAAGGGATAGCAATTTATTACATTTACTAATTGGGGTTTTGTTTATACTTCTCCATTCATTTTAATAATTGTTTTGATTTGAATAACTTCCACCTCCTTGAACTGTCAGTTTTAGACAACAAAAAATCATGTGTTTGAGTTTTACAAAATATATATGAATTTTCCAATATTACACTTCCTAAACAACATGTATTTGATTTGTATTATAAGACAGTGGTTGCAAGGTGAAAGTATAGGGTTTCATCAATATTAAAGATAACTGATTGCCAGAACTGTAAAAAGAGTCGCAAGTATTTTGTAATCCCTCTTTCACTTGGTGTTGGTACACAGCTTCACATTCTGTACAATTAAGTTTAAAAAATCTGGAATATCTGATACCTAATGAATATACTACAAACTTTAAAAATGCACCCTGGCACCCAGGCACACGGCACATTCCAGAAAGGACTACACATCACTCAAAGATAGACCACCTAGGGGCTCAGGTTTCAGTTTGTGAAACAGAAAACCTATGTGGGTGGGTGGGTGGGAGAAGGGTAGAGATGGAAGGGCAGAAAATGACTGATTAGGATTCTTGAAATTGTAGAAGAAAAGCCTGACCTTTAACTGAGGTAAAGCAGTTTATCAACAGTGACAAACAGATTAAGAAGAAACGTAATCAATTTAGTTGGAAGACATAGTATTATTGTTGTTTTATCTATGGTTATAGTTCACAAAGAAGTTGTCAAAACTGAGAAATAAGTTTTGCCCTAAGTTTTAAACTTTACTTAAATTGAATTTAATGAAACAAATCGCTTTCTTACATATGTTTGCCAAAGAAAATGAAAGGGAAGGATTAATATTTACTGAAAGTATTTGTGTCAAGAACTGTGCAAGGTGCTTTGTGTAACTGGATATGCTTCGTCATTAATTCACAAAACAATCAGAGGAAATAGGTAATATGGTATTTTAAGAAAACTTAACTTTCAGAGATTCACAGTTTTGGTAAATGGCAGAATGAATACTTAAACTCAATCTGGTTGACTCTAAATCCTACATATTTTAGTATCCTCAGCAGCGAACAATAAATAAAGTAGGAGCACAATTTACTCATTCAATATCTCAAGAATAGTCCATAAAATTAAAAATTCCAGTTGAAGAATATTACATAAAAATCTATACACATGGTTTGGCTATATTTGCAATATTTGACCTGAAGAAAATCGAAGTATGATTGCAGTGAGCCTAACAAACCAGAATCTTCTCATTTAAAGATTTATGGAGAGTGACATTTTTACTTTAAAAGTTGCAGGTTTATTTTAAACTAATAAGCACTTTTAAGGAGAAAAATTAATCTAATATCCTAAAATATAAAAATGATTTCTTTATTATGAAAAAGCTAATAATCTTAGCCTATGACAAAGCAATGATGATATGACACTGTAATAGCTATCATAACAGATGGTCTCGTGAAAAACTATAGCTAAAGACAAATTCATTTCTGTTCCACTTTGAAGGCTTACCAATTGTCATGACATTATTACTAATAACAGCCAACAAGCAATATTTTTATTACTGTTAATATCTTCTTTTACACATTTACCTATTATAAGTAAATGTATATATAGCAAAGAATCTGGTTTCTTGGATGAAAGTTAAAGAAAATGCCACCTCAGTCAATTAATGAGTTCAGCCAAATTGATTAGTACTTACTAGAGAGAAAGTGCTGAGAGGAGGGTCCAAAATCTCTGTGAGCCTCCTGGAGCTGTTTAAGGCGATCATCCACAGAAACCTGCACAAACACACGTGAGACAGAGGAAATAATTTGATTTCAGAAGAATGACTTGACTAATATCCTTGATTTAAGTACTACAATAAAGGACGCTATTATCCAAGATATGACTGCTTATATAGATTCTTTTCTATCTCTGGTATCAAAGTTATGGTATAAAAATGAACTCCCCTGGCATCAATAACAGTAAATACTGCCAGGTATTTTTCTAATTTTATACAAATTAACTCTCTCAATTCTCACAATAATAAACATCATCATTTTACAGACGAAGGAATTGAGACACAAAGAAGTACTCAAGGACATAAAGCTAATGAATGGTAATGCTGTTATTCATATCTGGTAATCTGGTGCCAGAAACTACATCCGAACTGTTACTCAACACTGCCATTAAGGCCATACGCTGCCTGTCTCTACAGTCAAGATGTGGTCATGGGATCATCTCTCTTTTCTAAGGAAAATAGTAAAAAGTGCTATAGGGAGCAAATAAAAATAGAGCTTATAATACTCCGAGGGAAACTAAACAGATGAATACATAGAAATATAGATAGACAGATAGATAGTAGATAGACAGATATTTAGATAGAGTGAGTGAGATGATAGACAACAGACAATGAAAAAACATGTTAGTATGGACACCTTATTTCCTCCAAGTTTGTATCTCATCATCTCTACTGGTGTTGACCTGTATATGTAAGGGTAGGCAAACAGATTAATATATTCTATTATTTTATACACATTCTACAGTTAGTTCTCTACATTGTGAACATACAAAGAGTTATGACACTAAGCAACTAAACACAAATCAGTAATAATTGCACACAGCCTACCAACATTTCCATTTCCTTTTTCCTGGTCTTTGACTATGCAATGCTAGTCATTGTTTCACTTAAACTGACAATCTTATTTTCAGTTGCCTTTCAATGAAACTGTGTATGTCTGGCTCACTGGACAGCTCTAGCTCCTCCTGGTTAGTCATTTAAGTTGCATTAATATGTATGTTCTTAGTTAAGGCTAAAAAGCATTCAAATGCTACACTATATGAGTAAAGAAGATGTTACTCCTGAAATTTAACAGTGTTGCCTGCCAACATAGACTTTTCTCTTTTTATCCAACTAACAACTAACATCTGAGTTTTAGTGGGTTACTAGGGTCATAGATAAGGATGACAAAACACATGTCTTCTTTCAAGTATAACATATTCCCTGACTTCTAATCTTTGGATTAGTGATAACAGAAACAGAACAGGAAGCAAATCAAGATGGACCACAAGACTCATCACATGAAAATAATGAATGAAAGAAAAGGAGCAGAATAAAAAAGAATAAAGGTCAAACATTTCTGTGTTTCACCCACTAGAAAAGCACATATGAATTCAGCAGATTTCACTTTACTAATCCCAGATTACTGATGCTCTTTACAAAGACAGAAGATTGTCAAATATTATACACTCATTTCTTATGTCTTCAATTTCACTAAGAAAATATGAACTACTGAGTGTTTCGATGTTTGAATTTGCTCAGATAACCTATTATACTATAAAAAATTATATCTGTCAAATAAAATGATTTTATGTGCTACAACAAAATTGCATATTTAGTAAGGTCTAGAGTCATTAAAACAACTGCATTAGAAGAGCCAAGATCTAATAGCTGAAAGTAAACATCACCAGGGCATAAATGTGCTATCAGAAAAAAACAAACAAGATACCTAGACAGTTGGAAGAAAAAGGATGGGGACTTGCTTAATTTTTTAAAACAACAACAAAATACACACGATGAAGGTAAGAAAAATGACTTATTTATGAGCCATTATGGGAAAAATGTTTCTGTCTATGACCTACCCCAGGGTTTCAATTACTATGATTTATTTGATTTTTTTATAATCTTCTACAAATATCATATGAATAGGACATCAAAATTAAATCAACATCTATATTCATAAGTAAATGAGGCCCTCGGGTTCAGGATACCAAAAGACAAATGTCTGCTGTTATCGCATGCTAAATTTATTAATAAATATAATCAATAAAGAGAAAATGATGACATGTGGTAGAACAGGGAGGGAGGGGTTAAAGACCACCCAAGGAATAAGCCTGCATTATGAAGGGAGATAAACTGATACCTGTAAAAGTTTCCATCGCATATTAAGGTCATCCAGCTGGCGAGACATCTTTATAGAGGGATGCAGGTCTAGTGGAGACAGCTGACTGGATAAATCATTCACTGTTTTAACTTTTAAGTTGATTGGTGCAATTTCTTCTCTAAAGGCCTTAAAAGAAAGGTACACACAAAAAAAGTGTCATTGTAAAATAATACAACAAACGGTAGCCCCGCTGACCCATGAACAACATGAGTTTAAACTAAAATACAGTATTCACAGGATGTGAAACTTGCATGTATAAACAGTCAACTTTTCCTACATGTGGGTTCCACAGGGGCTGTTAGACTTGTGTATGTGGAGACTTTGGTATATGCAGGATGACAGGCTGGAACCAATCCCCTGCACACATGGAGGGACGACTGCCTTTCTAGCTTTCTTTTAAAGAAAATGGCAAGGCCAACTGAGAAGTCATCAACTACAGTTGCCCACTCAAGGTCTTTAGTAACCTGAATGAAGAGCCAAAGAGTCCCTCTTTATAACCTAAATAATACAAATCAGTGTGTGAAGAGAAAAATTATAATTCAAATGATTTTACATATTTCCTCTCATTTTTATTACATGCAATTTTTTCTGGAAAATGATTGCCATTATTTTCCAATGTATTGGTTTCTAGTCTTGCTTGTATCCTTAATTTTTTTTCTTATTTTCTTATTTTGGGGGGGGGGCTGAGCATAACTTTCTTCATATTTTTTCAGCCTATGCAACAACTTGATTTAAACACATTTTCACTTAAAATTAAGTTAGAAAGTGGCCAGTTAAAACAACTTTCTCAACCACTAAACTAAAGCTAAAACTTTCTTAAAACAACTTTCTTAACCACAAAAACTAAAACTCAGGAGATAAGTTCTGTCCTTTCAAAATCATTCATGGTCACTGTCTGTGGTTAGGGCTGGGACAGAAAGAGTAGTTTCTACAGGAAGGAGGTAAATGAGGCTTAGAACTGACAAATGCCACTGCTGAGAACAGTGCAGAGCTGTACTTGTCTGCGGTGGAGGATGTATGTTAAGACAGGAAGAAAAAAACAAAAGATAGTTTGGATCAATAACACTTCCCCATTTCTTCTTCCCTTCCAAAGCATTTGTAGTCATCTTATATAATTTCCTCTTCTACATTACGTGAAGTATGGCCAGAATATGCCAACTCAAAAGATGCCATTTTGACTAAGAAATTTTTGAGCTAAAGGTGGCATTTTAAAATTCAGTATGTACAAAAGGGTGCTCTGATCCTCTACTTTTTCTTCCTGTAAACAGGAGATAGAACCCCCATATGGGAGATGTCCTTTCTATACCAAGAGGAAAAGAACTTATCCACAAAGATGAGATGCTAAGAAAGACTGAGTGAATTAGGGACAAATAGTCCCTATTAAAATAATTTTTATCTTCCTTTTGTCTACTCACATACTTTAGTTACTTGTTCACAATTGCCTCTCTTTGTTCCAACTAACAGAACATTATATAGGTTTCACCACAGATGTCAAACTTTACTATAAGGCTATAATTATCAAAATAGCCTGTTATCGGTACAAGAACAGGCATATGGACCAATAGAACAGGATAGAGATTCCAGAGACAAAATGTCAATTTCTCAACCAACTCATCTTTGACAAAGCCTCCAACAACAACCACTGGGAAGTGGAGAACCTATTCAGTAAATGGTGCTGGGAAAACTGACTGATCACATGCAGAAGATTGAAACGGACCCCTACCTATTACCATACACCAAAATTAACTCTAAATGGATCAAAGAACTAAATGTAAAACCTCAACCAATAAGAATCTTAGAAAACGCAGGAGACACTGTTATGGAAATTGGAACTGGCAACCAATTCCTGTTCAAAATCCCCAAGTGCCCATACCATAAGAAATAAGATAGACAAGTGTGACCTCATCAAACTGAAAAACTTCTGCAAAGCAAAAGAAACCTTCAAAAGAGCAGGGAGACAGCCCACAGAATGGGAAGAAATATTTGCCAACTGTATATCCAACAAAGGCCTGACGTCTAGCATCTACAAGGAACTCAAATGTGCCGAAAGGAAAAAAGCAAACAACCCCATTAAAAAATGGGCAAAAGATATGAATAGACACTCCTCAAAAGAAGATATAAGGATACCCAACAGACCATGAAAAAGTGCTCAGCCTCACTCATCATCAGAGAAATGCAAATCAAAACCACATTGAGATACCACCTAACCCCAGTAAGAATGGCCATCAACAGATACTGGCGAGGTTGCCGAGAAAAAGCACCGCTTCTACACTGCTGGTGGGAATGCAAACTGGTGCTACCTCTTTGGAAGACAAGTGTGGTGGTATCTGAAAGAATTAGAAATTGACCTTCCATATGATCCAGCAATTCCCCTATTGGGAATATACCCGAAGGAACTCAAATCATTCTACAATAAAGATACCTGTACACCTATGTTGGCTGCAGCTCTATTCACCAGAGCAAAAACATGGAACCAACCATGTTGCCCATCAAGGCAGGACTGGATAAAAAAAACGTGGTACATATACACAATGGAATATAATGTGGTCACAAAGAAGAACAAACATATGGACTTTGCAGCAACTTGGATGGATTTTAAGTCTATCATACTCAGTGATCTATCACAGAAACAAAGAACAGAGAACCATATGTTCTCATTCATAAGAGGACCTTGAACAATTATCATAATACTATAACAAAGGGATTGGCAATAGTGGGAAACTTCCAGGGGAGGTGGAGTGGGATTGGCAGTTAAGGGAAACTGGCAGGGAAGGGATAGGCACACCTCATCAACAACGGTACTTGCATAATGAACATATGTATACTTAACCCTCAACTGTACCCCACATCTTTAAAATAAAGGGGGGAAAAAAGATAGAGGGAAGTGTGGATTAAGATGGGTAAAGAGAATTTTCCAGTCTGGACTTAGAAAAGGCCTAGGTTCCTTCAGATTCAGTTTGAGAAATGTTACAGAACTTAAATCCTTCAGAGTTTCTTCAGTCATGATTTTAATTTATACATTAATATTCTTTCCACAAGTTTCTTGGAGGACTTAAGCATTGTAATCAGCTTTTAAAGTCAACTTATTTTTAATGTATTAGTCATTAAGAATTAAAAATGAAAAGCTAGAAAATGTTCTGAGATTTTTATAATTTTAAATAATAACCAGTTTTATTTCAAAGAAGGCAATTTTTTATAAAATTAGATTGCAACTTCAAGACAGATTTTAAGAGTCATGTAGAGCAATACAGATGTTTAAATTTTTCCTCTACAAAAATGATGTTTTCCAATTATAAGCCACACGTGAAAACATTTTAAAACGCTTTGACAGACAAGGTCTTTGTGTGTTGTTTTTATGGTCTGGGTGTGTTAAGGCAATAAGAAACCTTTCTCAAGAAAGTTTAACTTTTGTTTTTTTTCAAGAGCTTCCAAATTAAGGGGCTTGAAATAAAGATCGTTTTTAAATGTTTTCAAAACTGCTGTATGTTCTAGTACAAAGAACCAATTTATCTTGTTTTGAGTGTAATTTCCTATAAGAGAATAAGAATCTATGTGGCCTTCCTTGCTATAAAAACACAAAGCATCTGCTAGTATCAAAGGTGCTAATACCTTGTTAGCAGTTATGAATCCCAAACCCTCTCCTGCCAGAAGGTGTATATTCTACCACAAAGAATGATTGAGAAAAATTTTAAGGAGCTGAAATTATTTCATTATCCCCAAAGATTTTGTTTTCCAGTTGCTTTGGTATATTTAATAACATTTAGCAACAATCAGTACTTATTATTATTTATTAATATTTTATCTGACTATAGTGTCAAGTTTTGGAGCATACTTTAAAGCACATGTAAAGCATCCCCTTAATTTGGAAGCTCTTGAAAAAAAAACAAAAGATAAATTTTCTTGAGGGTTCCTTATTGCCTTAACACACTCAGACCATAAAAACAAAAAAAATGAGGTTTTTTTTTCTAAAAATATATCAAAATATTTTAATTTACCATCTATTCTATTCTATTAAAGTATTAATTATATTTTTCCTAGTTTTCTGCTTAAGCAGAGATGTAAGCAAAAGAATTTGGATGTAGAGTTAGGTAAATCCTTTAATTAAAAGTGAGATTAACAATCTCCAAACTTTTGGTAATTTAAAATCCCAGAAACAGTTCTTCCTTTTTCTCCCAACACTAATCATCCTGTACTATAAACTGATACTTTCAAATTTAAATGGGTAAATTCCTCCTCTAACCAAGAGGCATTTTTTTTCATTCCAACAGAACATAGGTTTTGTAAACCACTAAAAAATTTTCAGTATTTAAAACTATTCATTAGAATACAAGAAGTGTGAAACTTTCAAGAAAGAAAGGCTAATGGCTTTGTTTTCAGTGGGTTATTTTAAAATCAAATTCATCCATGAAAATGTTTTTTAGGATACCAGAATTGTTGGAGGAAGTCTCTTTAATTCCATAGGGTAGTTGGGAATCTATTTATATTTGCATTGAAAGATGGCAGACACTAATATATTTTTAATAATAAAAATGTTAAGTTTAAAATTTAATATTTCACTTCTAAAGCTTCAAATTCAACATTTCCTTTATCAAAGAGAATGACAAAGGTCTCTGCAAAGAAAGAGAACAAGAAAAAAATCATGAAAACTCTACCACTTACTAGCTATGTGGATTTGAGCAGTTTCCTTCAGTTTTATTTGTAACATGAACATAATAATAATATTTATTTTTCTGGGTTGGTGTGAAGATTATCCATGCAAACTGGCTAAGTACAGTTATTTGTACATAATAAGCCTCAATAAATGCTATCTATTATTATTATGATGGTGTCTACTCATACATATTTTTACTTATGTAATTCACCTAAATATTTAGTTAACTTCCTAGACCTTCTTTTTCTTTACTGTTCAGCCAAATACATACAAGACAAAGCTATCTGATGTCTGTGCACAAAATATGTATCTTTTGTAATAAAAAATTCCATTCATGATAGATACTATCAGTCTAACACTTTCTAATTTTTCATTGGTTTATCCTTTGATTTGATTCATGACTATGTTTAGTTTGCTATGCTACTACAAACTCTCACATCCTTTTTTTTTTTTGTATTTTTTATTGCCTGAATTTCTTTAACCTTTTTATGGAGATGTTCTAAAATATGGGAACCAAAGAAGGTCCAAATGTATGTCTAATATCCTTAACTTTGGGCAATTCCAAACTACAAAAATAATTTATAGCTAGACTAAGCCTTCATTAACAAACTGAGACAATGAGATAAAATTTATATTATCCGAGCATGGTGGCATGCGCCTGTAGTTCCAGCTACTTGGAAAGTTGAGGCTGAAGGATCACTTGAGCCCAGTAGGTCAAGACTGCAGTGACCATGAGCGTGCCACTGCACTCCAGCCTTGGCTACAGAGTGAGTCTCCAACTCAAAAGACAAAAAAAAAAAAAAGAGAGAGATACAATTTATAGACGAAAATTCCAAGTAAAACAGTGTGCTTTGAGTTAAACCTGTAAAATCCAACTACCAATTTACAAGAGATACAGAGTAGGGAAGCCCCTGGAGACTATTCCATATGGACACAATTCTGCAAACTCCAGGCTGTGGGAATTACTACAAAACAAACAATTCTGTTTCTTCAACAAATAAATTGCAAAGAAAAGCCCAAAGAATAGAGAAGAAATCTGGAGATTAAAGGAGACTTTAAAAATATTTTTTATAATAGCTAAACTTACTCTATATTGCTTAGGAATGCACAGTTGGGGAAAACAAAGTAAATTATTGTAAAAGTCACATTAGTGATTATTTGTGGGCAGGGGGCTCTGATGGTGAGAGACATAAGGAAAACATCTGTTGTGACTCCCGACTTGGGTGGGGGTTGCAGTGGTGTTGGCTTGGTAAGAATCCCTTCTAACAATTTATACATGTGGCTCTCCTTATTTGTGCTATATTTAACAACAACAACAACAACAACAAATTATTAAAAATCCTTTGTCAAAGACAAGGATGCTGACCATGGTTTTTTCAATATGATCCTGCAGCGAGTCAATGAGTAAGTCTCCCACGGGTTTCCAACCGTTCCTCACGGATTCTGCCTCCTTCATGTCAGCATCCAGATCATCCATAGCTCCCTGCAGATCTCTGAGTTTCTCCAACGCCTTGTCCACTTGCTTTTGCCAATTGCTAGTAACGGCATTTAGACTTTCCCACTTCTCTTTGACTTCAGAAGACTGTTTACGCATGGCTTTGGCAATCTTTTGGGCTCTCTCCTCAGGAGTCAATTCTGTGATTTAAAAAAAAAAAACATAATTTAGATGTCTGATTATACATTCTTTATAGCCAAGTGTGAATATCACCATTCAAAGAGTTGCTACCAAGGTACATGGAGAAAATTACTCCAGAATAAAATTTGGCCAGGATAAGAAAAAATTTCTCCATACTTCATCCACGAATTCCCTACTACCTCAAATATACACACAAATAGAGAAGAAAACAGTTGATCAGATTAACAAGTTGACCCTGAGTTTCTGAATTTTAATATATTTGTAAATCCTGAAATGTAACAACTCAAGAAATAAACTGATTATTCTTTACTGTAGAGTTTGTTCTATAACATCCAAAGACAATTTTACATTTCATTGTTCTTAAGAGAAACGGTAAGCATAATTAGCAGAGAATAGCTATAAGTTATAGAGAAAAACTCTCAGAAAATAAGATTAACTTCTTGTGTCCCTAAAAATAAATAACTGAAGACAATAATATATCTTAGGTACGTCATTATCCCTGAGGTTGTTTGGCAGTTCATTTTTAATAAAGGGCATTTTCTGAAGTGTGACACGTCCACAAACATTTCAACAGGAAGACAGCAAGGTTTCAAGGTCCATCCTAAAAGAGAGCAATAAAGCTTCCAAAATGTCTACAGTAAACCTGGACTTTCAGACAGAAAGGGCAGGCAAAGCAAAAGGACAGGGCATAGGGTGGGAGCTGGAAGAGCAAGATTCCAGAAGAGAAGCAAAGGATACAGACACAAATCAAAGTCAAGTTCAAAGCCAAAGGTCAGAAACATAGGGATGGGGAGCTGACAAGACAAGGACAGAGGAATATAAAAAAACACAGAGGGGGACATTCTCAAAGCAGGTTAGAAAGATCTTCAGCAGAGCTAAACACTCCTGAGGACTCACTACCCTCTACACCTGTAGATACCTCCTTTTCTATTTAGCTAGTTTAATGGTGTCATCCAGATTATCCACAGGAAACAGAGACAGGTCAGAAACACAGTGCAGGTAAACAGTAAATTAACTTAAGACAGAAAAGCAATTTTTCTTTGTGATAACATCTTATCTTTCAATATCAATCACATAGCAATTTTCATTTCACCTCAAAATGTTCCAAATCACTTGTAAAATGAACTAAAGTTCATTGAACTTCATTGTAAGATGAACTACATGGTAAGATGAACTGAAGCAAGCTCTCCTAAATGGTAACTTTCATCCTCAATGTAAAGGCTACCTGTCTTTATTCAAATATCATTAAAAGTCAAATTAAAGGGGAGAGAACACATATGTTTGTGTATCTAATTTCCAGAAAAGTCTAGACATTGATATTTAGCTTTAAAAGCAGTTTCATTATAATAAATCTCTGGAAATCAAATGGACTAGTTTAGCAACCACAAAACTGAGTTGTGCTGATTATGTGTTATGTGAGGCTATAGAGACTTGAACAAACTCTTGGCAACCGAATTGAGGAAAAAAGAGAAAACCTCACAATTGGTAGACAGGTTGTATATATCAGCATAAGAGAAATATGGAAGATAAGTGATTTAGAAAATCAGGTCCATGTAACAGTCAGGAGAGGAAGTCAAGGAGCCTGGAGAAAAATCCTACAACATGCAATATGTCAGGATAAGAAAAATGCTTCCTGAAAAAAGGTATGTCATGATACAGGCAAATCTTATTTGCATTTTTATACCTTCAAGATATGTATAAAATGATAAATATAGAACATATTTTTATATAAGCATAAAATGCTATGTGTGAGACGGAAAAATCATTTTTAGCCTCAGGAGAGATGGTAGCTTTTATGATTAAACACCTGTGTTTGTTAAAAAGTCACTTGGGTTTTTTCAAAGATATATCTTAAGCACAGACTATTGTAAAAGAAAAAAAAAATCAATTTCAGAACAGACAACTTAATTATGATGATTTTCCTCAGATAAAGTAAAAGTGTTTTTGAGTCAGTGATTAAATAACCTAGCACAAGGGGAGACCCACAGTTTCTTTGTCCTGTGACAAAACATCTTACACTGACTCTGACTTTTTTGTCTTCCCTTAATATAACATCTATTGACTGAGCAGTACTTTTGTAGTATTTATTATATAATATCCACTCAAGCAGCTACTCAGAAGAAAAGCTGTATGTTCAATTCACCATCTGTTTGCCAGAAAGGAAATATATTAACTAATCACATTTGAGTCAGAATAAACTGTCTCCTATTGCAACAACAATCTCAGTTTAATGCATACTTTAAGCCAAGAATAGAGCAGAATACAAAACAAAACAAAAACTTTCCAGAGCCTTTGTGAAACATGTAAAAAGAGGCAACATGTGAAATACCAAGTTATGACAATTTGGGGTGAAAAATAGAAAAACAAATTAAAACATCAAAAAAGCAGGAAAAAATAGAGAAATGATTTCATTTTTCAAAAAATCCTCTCATTTGGGAATCAAAAGACAGACATTGCTTCAAATTTTTCTAAACAGATATTCTGTGGTAAATTCCAAAGTCATCATGCAAGAATTAAGAATCTTCCCAACCGGTGTTTCTGAACTCTGGTGTCATATTAGAAACCACCGTGAATGTTAGCTAACTAGTTAGTTAGTTACACAGTTAGTTTTTAAAGGCTGATAATCACGGGCCCTACCCCAAAAGATACAGATTCAGCTGGTCAAGGTGGGACATAACTTCAAGGCTTCCCAGCAGTTCTAAAATGTTGTCAGGATGAACCTAACAACCTATCTCTGGTCCATGCAACTGAAGCTCACAGGACAGTTCCACTCCAGCGGATGCTTGTGTCAACCCCACACAGAGCATAGCACTAAATATTGGAGGCCAGAGAGCAAATGAAGCTGCGTGATAAGGGAGTAATCTAATTTGCATTTGAAAGGCAAATAGAGTCTAATCCTGGAGACAGAAGAAATCGTAGGATAAAACCAAAGAAATTTACTAACAAGTTTGAGACAAGAAGAGTTTCTTCTATGTCCCATTCCTACTTGCTCCCTAAAGTGTGTATGTGTATGTGTGTGTATGTATGCGTGTGTGTGCCCCATCAAATTGTCCTCCTCCCTTTGAGTCTCCCCATTTAACTGACAAACTTTGACAGTGAAATTATCCTTAATTTTTATCTTTTACAATTTTATTTACTTATATTTTATATAAACATTGTTGGGAGCCGGCCTTGGAGGTTCTCCTGATTGACAGGGTCCTGGTGGGCCAAAGACCCTGGGCTGCAGGGCGAGCCTCGGAAGCTGAGGCCCTTCTGTCTTCCACCTTTGCTGTTTGATGCGGCTGAAGAAATTCTGTGCAGTCGTGGAAGAAGAAAATGGCATGTTTATGCAAAGTACTCACACCTAACCTGAGAATGTCATGGTTCATTTTCCCACTATGCCACTTGGCCTTTTCTAACATATGCAAGGGTTAAACTCTGAAGCACATCAAGAATGCTTTCTTTCACTTGGTTATAAGTTACTAAATATTGCTTGAATAAAAAAATGATATTAGTATATTCACTCCTTATTTGATTTAGAATTATGCAGCTTAGTGTTCAGACATAAGGTTTTTTAGAAGTACAAGTTTATGGTAAGTTCATTATGAGCTCATTATAAGTTCTAACACTTATCTAGGAGTTATGAAGGTGATTTATAACACTGTCTTCTCAGACTTAGGATAAAGATTAATCGTTAAGGTTTTTACTTAATTCTATAGTTAAATTTTAAGTAAACAATTATAGAGTGAGTTTTCACTGAATTCATAATATACTAATTAGATACTTTTATGATAATTAACTAAATACAGAAAGCAACCTTGGGGGCCTGGGAAATGTCATTAGAAGCTTCTTTTGAGTTTTCTTTAGAAATAAACACTGCAGGATAAGAGAAAAGTAACGAAGACACCTGGACAAGAAAGGCGATTACAAAAGCTTTGAAGGTCGTAAAAGCCCAAAAAGAGAACTGCTACATGAAGAACCGTGCACCTGGGAACTTTCTTGAAGCACTTCAAGGACTGTAATTTGGGACTCTTTTGAAGAAAGTTGCTGGCAGTGCTATTCTAGACATGATAATTGTTTTATCCATGTATTAATCATAATTGGTAAATGTAATATCATACAAGTTTATATAATCAATATACATATGTATGAGGGTTGACAAAAATTATTAGGCTCTGGTCATGTTTAACAAGGTTTTTACTTTGTGTCATTAATTAAGTTTTAGTGCTATAGTTTAGTGTTTTATAGCTACTTTGAAGATTGTTTTAAGTTCATAAGTTTAAGTTCACACAATGATAAAATTGGTGCCTCAAAGATGATAATAATTGCTCCAGTGCCTATCTTAAGACAAAGATGTCTTCCAAGAGGTTCCCAAACATAAGGGAAAACAGCCAAATCACCATTATCCTAAACTTAGATCATTGGCAATTATGCAACCATAATAATTTTAGTTGTGTTAGTTTTATTTCATCATGTTTAGTTCACTTTATATGTTTATTCAGAGTAAAGATTAGTGTATGTATCTTCACAGTAAGTGACTTTCATAGTTATTCTTTAAATGCTAGCCACTGTTGTTTGGTCAAGTTAATGGGCTTCATATTCCTACTATCACTAGGTACAATCTATAGTTTTGTATTAGTGATTTTAAGACTTTTTTTAATTAAACAAGTGATGTGGAACCGCAGTCAAAGTAAACCTTGTATGCATTATGTTTAGTTTAAGTGAAACTCCTTTTACACTTATCTCAAGACTCATTACCTGAAAGTAGATAGTGTTTTTGTCTTATTCATTTCTTCTAAAGACCGCTAGATGGTGGGAACTTTTAAAGCATATGTACGTGAAGGAATTTTCTTTGTCTTGCCCCTTTATGGATGGTATAAAAGCTCTGTGTTAACTAACATTAAATGGTCATCTGTTCAGGAAGCAGGTGTCTGAGTATAATATTTTCGTCTTTTGCCTATCCGTCTCTCCTTCAGGAGATCTCACGACCTGGCAAAGGGGCTGGACCCCATCAAAACAT